CATGCTGATTGGGAAAATCCTTACACTACCTGGTATAATGTCCCATTGCTATCCCTCTACTAATAGATTCTATCATTTTCCCAATGACAGACTTTAGGTTAATATGCATGGTGTAGGCCTTCAGGTCCAGGGGACTTTTCAGTGTTAAGTTCCATTAATTTTCCCATTACTTATTCTATAATAATTATTTTAATTTTGTCCCTTCCTTGATTTTTTGCTATTAATCTTCACATACTTTTAGTGTCTTCTACAGTGAAAGTAGATAGAAAATGTGCTCGAAGTCCATACTGTTCCCTTTCTTCCCATTTATTGAGACCCCAGTCCCATCCTCTAAGGGTCGAACATCATCTTTAATGATTTTTTTTAATACTTGCAGAAGCTTTCACTTTTGTTTTTATTTCTTGCCAATTTTCTCTCATTCTCTAAACTCCCTCTTTTTTTTTTCAATTTATCCTTTACTGGTTTCTGCACTTTTTCTGCTTTGTAGTATTGTATACCTTTTCTTTCAATCTTGTATAAATGTTCTTAGAGTTATCTTCTTCATTGGTGTATCTTCATTAAGAATTTATGAATTATCTCATTAAATGTCTGCCAGTATTTCTCTACCTTCTTCCCTTTTAACCTATTTACCCAGTACATTTTAGCCAACTCTATCTTGTATATTAGACTTAATTAAAGGCAATTATTAGTTATGGACCCACTATTGTCACTATCAAACTGAATTCTACAATCATTTTTAGCTATAGGATCCTTTACTCTGAAGCTTTCATTTTAATTCAATCTCATTACACATAACCAGTTACAGTCTTAAATTGACACCTTCTGTGTCACAAATACACTTTGAACTCATGATGTGGAGGTGCCGGTGCCGGTGTTGGACTAGGAGGGACAAAATCAGAAGTCACACGACACCAGGTTATAGCCCAACAGGTTTATTTGAAATCACAAGCTTTATGAGCACTGCTCCTTCGTCGGGTGAAGTGGAGGGAAGCATGTAGGCAGCAAATTTTTAGGTGGAGAAAACATTGCAAGATAATTCCAGCGAATTAAGAGTGTCAAAAGATAGTATAGATGGTGTGAGTGGAGTATCGATAGGCTGAATAGCATGTGAAAGGATGACTTATGATCCAATTAATTGAGGCAGAGATAATTACAAAAATTGAAAATAAGATGGCGCTAGGGACAAACCAAATGGCTGGAACAACGTGATAGGTATAAAAGTAACAAGGAATCCAAAACTGTACAAACTAATTAAGGTAGTGACATCATAACAATTAATCAAGGTGATAGAGTCAAAACAGAACAGTAAGGAAGATTTTACAAACACAGCACAGTATGGCAGGGTTACATGTAGCACGATGCAAATCCAAGATCACAGTTTAGGCTGTCTTCATGGATATGGTACTTGGTATCAGTTTCTGCCCAGTGATTCTGCATTGTTGTGTATCTCGAAGGCTGCCTTGGACAATACCTACCCGAAGATTGGAGGCTCAATGTCCTTGACCGCTGAAGTGTTCCCCAATGTGGGAGGGAACATTCCTGTCTGGCAATAGTTACGTGGTGTCCATTCGTCCATTGTCATTGACGCTTTTGATCACCTAGAGAGACTTGTTATTCAGCCTGTTGACACTCTACTCACACCATTTGTACTATCTTTTGACACTCTTAAATACCTGGAATTATCTTGCAATGATCTCTCTGCCTATAAATACTGTGCCTCTGCGCTTCCCTCCACTTCACCTAATGAAGGAGCAGCTCTCCGAAAGCTTGTGATTTCAAATAAACCTGTTGGACTGTAACCTGGTGTTCAGTGACTTCTGACTTTGTACTCATCCACTGGGCTACCTTTGGTAATTTGATTTTTCCAGTCAATGCCAAGGTTGAAGTCAGACATGATATTGTAGCACCTTTCTTGCAAGTCTGCTCTATTTCTTGATATATACTCTGCTTGACTGTTTGGGGGCCCTGTAAATACTCACAACAGTAACTTCTTTCATTTTCCTATTGCTTATCTCCACCCAAACTGATTCTGCATCTTGAATTTTGTGAACTAAGATTCTTTGTCACTATTGCACTGATCTAATCCTTTTATTAACTGAGCTAGCCCACCTCCTTTTCATATTCCACCCACCCTTCTGAAATGTCAAACCCTCTTGAATTTTGAACCCAACCTTATTCACTTTGCAACTATGTCTGTAATGGCTATCATGTCATATTCATTTATTTTCATTTTGCTATCATTTCATCCATCTTGTTCCAAATGCTGAATGCTTTCTAATAATGAAGAGACTTTAATTTTTTTTTTTAAACTTTTGATTTGCGGCAAAGCTGAAAAATGGGGGTCCCCAATGCTGGTCCACTTGTTTAGTTGAAATTGTTCTGTAGCATTCACTTGTTGAATGTACTCAATTGATGCAACAGTCTTTACTGAATGTTAACAACCAGCTCCTGGGTACGTTTCAAACCACTTCCCTGAAATTATTAACAGAAAGCCTGGAGGTTTAAGCTAGGGTTGTGGATTTATATTGTTTTTTATAATTTAATATAGTAACTGTGTCTAGACTCAGACTGAGCTCGTACTATGTTGGGACATGTAGAATTATGTGTGCAATAAATCAATCATGAGCATCACCCAGGCCTATTTTGAATAGTCCAAACAGGAGTTGGAAACAGAAGCAAAGTGCAGAAAACTATGAAAACGTAGTTGAATGTACCTTATTGAATTCAGGCAAGCAAATTTGTTGAGTCAGAGTAGAAAAAGAACACCAGAGAACTAGATTTTATTTATTACTAAATGGCCTTTTTCCTGTGTTCTTTAAGCATTGTTGATGGGACTGAATCAAGGGCAAGTGTTTTGTTTGGTTTCTACTGCTGTTTGCAATTATAAATGTGCGCTATTACACAGAGATCCTTGTTGCATACCACATTAATATGCTAACAAGCTGCAGCATTTATAGGTAAAATGCAAGCTTGCACCTTAAGGTGGCACATATAAACTCATACTGAGTTGGGGATTTGTGATCCTTGGTTGACCATGTTAGCTGTGCAGAGGGAAATGTAAGCATAGAGTTGAATCAGTTCATTTGTACTCATTGCATTTACCAAACAGCCAAGCCACCAGATAAAGTAATCCACTTGAGTGACTCATGGTACATTTGAAGGAGAACACAAAGAGAGGAAAACAAAAAAATTGGAGGGAGATGCGAAGATCCATCATTTTGAGCTTTCTTTATCTTTTATATCATCTGTCCCTATTGAACAATTATTTACGTTCCAGAAATAGGTCAATCAAGGGAGCTCATAAGTGTGAGGAGCCTAGACTTTTTAATATTAAAAAGGGGAATTTAGAGGCAAAAGGAGTTTCAAACTAAATCATCGTCTGCTGAAGGCAAAGATGAGAAATTTCTTCCGTCAGAATGCCGTCAATATTGAAATTCTGTACCCAGAGTACAGTGGAGACTGGATCATTGATTATATTCAAGGCTAAGCTAGACAAATTTTTCATCTACAGAGAGAGTTGATGGTTATGGGTGCAGACAGAATGCTCCTATTTCTGATATCCGCTCAGAGAAAAGCATGGAAGAAATTGTTCAAGTCCAAAAAATCAACAAATCCTAAATACCTGAATACCTGCATCTAGTAGTAAAGCTCTCGATGAACGACAGACATTCAGGTGCTACTGCTGTGATAGAGTTGTTCTTTCTCTCCATTTTCTCTGCAATGCCTATTTGCACACACTGTGACATGCTGCATGCTCAAATGGACCAATATGGCAGCATCCAACAGAGCGATACGTAACACTAGGGTTTTAAAAGAGGTGCCTGCAGAGATGAGCATGTGCTGGTTATGATTTTCCAGAATTGCTTACAGCAGTGCCAGCAGTTTGAAGTTATTAAGTGGTAATATTGTCCTTCAAAAAAGCAAGGATGGAAAGAAATGAGGGGCACAGGCCACATCAACCATCAGAAAATGCTGGAATCTACAATTAAGGATGCACCTAGAAATACGTAGTATAATCCAGTGAAGGCACCGTTGTTTTACAAAAGGGCAATGGGGTGGAGCCAGGAAATGTCCTCACTCTGCAGTCTCATCCTGCTTATTAAAATTAAGCCCTGTGTATCCCATTGGTCTTGGATAAATGTTGAAGTGTTCAAGGCAAATGGAAATTCTCATGGTGGACCCAAATGCATTTTCAGAGAAACTGTTCTGAGGAATTAATTAGCTTCTTATTTACAGAGAGAAAAAAAATGCTTTCAATGAAACATTTTGCCATCTGGCATTTCTAAACCAGACCCACCTGAGAAAGGTAAATGAGTTTCCATTGTTCGTTTCTTTTGTGGCTGATGTTGAAACGGGCATAAATTTAATATTGCTGCTGCTGTGACAAGTAATGTTGGGTCAGATATTTAAATAAAGCTTTTATCTTCTGTTTCATTCTCTCGTTAAACAATTGCATTCATGCAGCTGCCAGTGTAAAGTTTGAATGTGGAATTTAAGTTGAATTGTGCTCATTGTTTCTACTTGTAACTTTGCTTAATGTTGAGAAACTTTTTATGGACTTGCACTATGCGTATGTGTGCATGAGTGAGAGGATAATCTTAAGAAGTCCCCAGTTTGCTGGTACGGCTGTAAAAGGGTAGATTCTCCCATGAAAATGACCTGGTTTTCAAGATGAAGATTCACTATTTTTGTCAAATGAGCTACTTTGACCTTGAATAGCTTCATGGTTGTGTCCAATTCTTTTTCTTTCCTAATGCCTGTAAAAATGCATGTCCAGCAAGCGTCACAAAATCCAGGTTTGTAGCAGTGTCTGCTGAATTAATTTTCCCTTTTATGTGCTGATTGCATATGACCACTATCCTGTTACGCTCAGCTAACAACTGGTTTTGGGAAATTATCTTTAGAAATAGGCTGCAGGTTAAGAGCTCTTAACATGGCACATGGAAAAGCTTATGGGAAAGATACAGTACATTCATGCTTTCTAAACTTTTAATCGGCAGGAGAATGTGGCGCAAATGTCATTGATGTTTCCAAAGAAGCACGCAAAAGGTTTCTGGGTCCACTCCACCCTTCCTTTAACTTGACAAAGATCATCCGTAGCCGGCTTTACAAAGGACTTCCAGACAATGCACACGAGCTGGCAACAGGTCGACTGGGCATTTCGTTGACCCGTGTCTCTGATGGCGAGAATGTTCTGGTGACAGTTTTCAACAATAAGGAGGAGCTCGTCCAGGTGAGTCAAAATGCATCGCTGTTTCTGTTCCAGATGGGTGGGAACAGAATATAATCTCTAGGGCCTCCACTATTTTTGTACTTCAAACTCTGTCATGCCTACACCAGTCCAACAGATTTATCTGAATCACAAGCTTTCAAGGTGCTGCCCCTTCATCAGGTGAAGTGTGACTTCATCTCAAAGAAGCAGCACTCCGAAAGCTTGTGATTTCAAATAAACCTGTTGCACTCTAACCTGGTGTTGTGTGATTTCTGACCTTGTCCACTCCGGTTCAACACTGGCACCTCCACATCTATTTCATGCAATTAAGGGAACAAAGACCTTCTCACGTCTGTGTGGCAGAAGCCAAAATCTGGTTTCTTTTCAAAGAAAAACATTTTCTGTCCTCTACTTTCCACCAGTCAATGAACTGTCCCATTCTACCAAATCCCCTAGACTTCCTGAAGATGATAACACTGTGTTATTTTTGTACAGCCATAACAATTGCATCACTGGCAGTTCACATAAAAAGCTCCTGATCTGTTTTGCAGGCCTGTATATGCAGTGCGTTTATTCCTGTGTACTGTGGACTAATACCCCCAGCACTGCAAGGAGTGGTAAGTTGAACACTGACTGTAAAGCATGAAGCTATTGATCTGGAATTTGACTGAGATGATAAATAACATTGAATCTTAATTTGCTTAGCTAATCAAAATGAATCTGGGCTTAGCTACCTCCTTTTCCAAACAGGATGTACATTGAAGTACTACATACATATTGTCATAACTTCCTTATTTTTCCTGTCATTCCTGCTTTAGTCTCCGTACCCTGAAGTTCCCTCTCCCTGCAATTCTGTACTGAATTACTGTAAATTCTATGACCTGTCTTCAGATGCTGTCTTCCCCAGTTTTCAAAACTTTATCAAGAAAAGATCCCACACTTAACCCTGTAATCAGCTATGCTATCCTATGCTTCCCTGATTTTGGAAACTTCCTCAAAATTGCAAAACAGACTGTGCCTGTTAAAGGCACCGTACAAGACACCATAATATAGTGAATATCAAATGAATTGGCAAAGAATTGGAGAGCAAAGGTGGCTGAGTGGTGAGCACAATTGCCTCACAGCACCAGGAACCTGGGTTTGATTCCAGCCTCAGGCAATTGTGCAAACTCCACATAAACACTCTCCCCTGTGTCTGCGTGGGTTTCCTCCGGGTGCTCCGGTTTCCTCCCACCATCCAGAGATGTCCTGGTTAGGTGGATTGGCCATGGGAAATTGCCCATCATGTCCAGGGATGTGCAGGCTAGGTGGACTAGCCATGGGAAATGCAGGGTCCCAAGGATAGGACAGGGGGATGGGTCCAGGAGGGATGCTCTTCGGAGGGTTGGTATGGACTCAGTGGGCTGATTGGCCTCTTTCCACACTGTAGGGTTTCTACGATTCTATGAAAGGCTGCTCATTCACATGAATAAAACAAAGAACTGCAGATGCTGGAGATTTAAAACTAAAATAAAAATTTCTGCCAAAACTCAGCAAGTCTAATGAGGAGTCATGAGACTCGAAACATTAACTCTGTTTTCTTCCCACAAATACCACCAGACCTGCTGAATTTTGCCAACAATTTCTGGCTTTGTTCCTCATTCACACGATTGCAAATGTAATGTCTTTGTGGTGCTACCAATTATAGTTGTGATTTTTGTGCATGAGTTCATAAATTCAGGCTTTCATGAATGATTGCACATTTGAAACTAATGAAGTGCAACTTTTAAGCTCCTGATTTGAACTACAGTGACATATTGTTTCATGTCACGTTACAAAGCAAATGCTTCACTACAATGTTGTACAACAGTGCATAGGTTCAGAGAAAGTTATTTCTCAGTAAGTCCTGATTATTATCTACTGATCTCATTCCAACGAGATGAAATGTGACACTGTTTGTCTACACTTGCTCTTCCCAGTTACTGCATTCATAAACTCCATAGACCAATTCAAAATCCTATGTTAAAATTGAATGGTATGGCTAAAATGCAATTGTTTTTGAAAGTTTATTTAAAACTTTGAACATTGAAGGAGTTTAGGTTTAGCATGAGTCATTGTGTAAACCATTCTGGCGTCATTCTTTCTATTGGATCCAGTTGTGTACAAAACAGCCTTGTGTATTCCATGGTTTGTTTGTTCGTTCGTCTCTCTTTATTGAGGAGAGATTGGCTTATGCCAAATAACAGTCTTGATAGAGTGCAAAGTGCTCTATGATCTAATGTCCATTTCTTCTGCTTGTTCTCCATGTCTCGACAATGCATCAAGACTAATCACTCTGGTGGATATTGGAACTGCCCAACTTTGAGTGTAGATGGGAAGATTAGCAATTTTATTTTGAATTGCAAAATTTCTTTCACTCGAGCAAGGCTCCATAAACACAAGTAACTTTCCAGTAGTTCGCCAAAGTGTCGTTCTTAACGAGGATGGACCACAACAAAAACTTATGAAAACATTCTGAGGTGTTTCACAGAGATGGAAGAAAGGCAGAATTGTGAGCTTGAACCAGGAGTGGCCAAAACAATAGAAAGCATTTTGAAATAGAGAACAGCGAAACAATTAGGAGAGCACCAATACCTTAGGTTTAACTTTATAGACAGTAGATCTTGCTTGATGAGCCTTTGAGAATATCATTGAGTTAGTTATAGGACAATGTTTTAGTAGAGATGCCAATATGGAGATGAACAGAGATTGAGAGATATTTTTAAAGTTGCTAATGGACAGTATTAACTTGGAAAAAGCTAACTAGTGGATGCCACTGGGATCCATTCTGGAGTAGTGGTGTTTACGTGAATAATTGGTAGGAAGGGACAGTGGAAAAATTGTCAATGATACCAAATATGGTGGTGCCAATTTCCTCTGTGCAATTGAGCTAATGAATCGACCCACATAACAATCATAATTAATTGGCTATAATGCATGTTTGGAAGCTCAGAGGTTATGAAAGATGCGATCATATCTGATCTTTGTGTAACCGCAGTCAGGTTTTGTATTCTCAGTTTCCTGAAATTCATGCAGCGAGCAGCAAATTGAGCTTTCGTTTATTCATCCCTGTACCTACGACTTTAAATTTTCCTTTTACCTCCAACTTTTCCCATACCCCTCTCTGAATGGCTAATCCAAGCATCTGCTTTCAGCTGCCTTTGAACTGGCAATCAGAAAATATGAAAGATGTAATGAAATCTTCTGAGCGTTGTTTTAGTTACCCACTTGTCCTGTACCAGCTTGACACACCCCTAAGTGGATTAGCTGTGATCAATATATAACCTTGTGAGAAAATGAGATGTAAAACTGGAACTGACTGACCTGCTCATGCACGACTTGTTTCCTTTGTGAATCCTGCACATTTTTAAACGGGTGAAAGCCCTGCTTGAACTGTATTTGCTGAACACTATTTAATTCCAATTACAAGCCAAAGCCAATGGTTCATTGCTTTTTGAGCTGTGGATAAACGGTTGTATCCAATGACAAACCAAATAATTGCAATGAACTAAAGCATTCAACATGATGTGAACTTTCAGTTTGACTGCATTTTTGCTGTCAAAACCAATGCTAGTTCTAATAGAGTAGCTCTTAATGATGCTTGAAGACAAATGTCTTTTATTGTGGAAATAATTCACATGTTGTATGGACAGTAAATTAAATGGGGGAGAAAACTACTCCACATCTGCTGCATAGCTGTAATTTTAATGTTAACCCTGTGTCTCTGTTTAGTGAGTTCATTGCCTAATCCAATTATTCTGCTATAAAGTGAAGAAAACACGGGGATCGTCCCTTATAACTGCTGAAGCACATAACTAAACCTTCTGTCAAGACATTAACTGATTAAGATTTGTTTTAAAAAAAAAAAGAAAGAATTGTCTTTCTGCAGAACCTTTTTGGGGCATTCCCCAAAGTATTTTACAATTGTACATGTTCAGTCACTGCTGAAATGTAGCAAACATGGGAGCCAATTGACATTCAGCAATGTTCCATAAAGAGAACGAAGATAATGACCTAATAATTGCATTTTAGTGCTGATGGTTGAGAGTATGTATTAACCCAGAAATTCATTTGATCCATTGCGGCATTCCCTCCGAGTGTGTTAGCCTAGAAATGGATGCTTGCGTCTCTGGAGGAGACTTGAATCCACAACCTTCTGAGCAGAGTAGTTAGAAATTATACTGAACCACAGCTGCCTGGCTGTGATATCCCAGATTTAGAGTTTGGCTTAATCTGGAGTTATTTGTTTTTGTGCAGTCTTGTCATTATGGTCATTCAATTAATCTTTACTCTCCTGGACTAGAGGGAAAAAAAATTGGCTGGGATTTTGGCCTTTTGACACTATCCAGCCACTCCAATAGGAAGTGGGCATTTGAAAATGGGATTGATTTCTATTGTGATGCTTGCTGTTCATCCCTAGCATTGTTGAAGCAGTGCAGAAGTATCCAAGGAGTCTGTAGGAGAACGAAAAGTCACATGGCCAACAGGAAAAAGAAATATTTATTCTAAAATATACTTTGATTTATTTCTGAGAAGCCACAGATGGTTAAAGATTTTGTTTTGAAATCACAGGGCATTAAGTCAGTTATAGTAGGAACTGCAGATGCTGGAGAATCCGAGACAACAAGGTGCAG